ATAAAACACAAGACTTATAAGTGCTGTCATGCTGGTTACAGTCCTGAACACTGCAGTATTCACAGACCCCACACCACACATCGCTTGAAGATTATGTGAAGTGATGTCTTAAATAATGAAGAGCCACTGAAGAAAAGTATGTGACATGGAGCCGAGTGTCAGCATGGACGGCACCTGTGGACCACACAGTAACTGCAGCAGGAGACCCTGGAAGGGCAGCCTCCCAAGTGAGTGCGCTGTATCAGAGCCGCCTCAGGAGAACAGGGACCCTAGGAAGGCAGATGCTACAGCCCGCCGAGGGCACTGTATCCAGCCGGAGGATTGGCCTTTGCAGACAGCAAAGGACCAGAACCGGGGCAGCAGAAAGGTGATGAGGACAAAGGAGCTGGAAGCTGAAATGCCAGCTAATGCAGAGCACAGCAGGCCAAGGATGCAGCTGCGCTTTCAAGTTCAAGGCAAGGTGGAGCCTGCGCTCGGAGTCACAAAACCAAGATGTCCATGAGGAATGAAGGCCCAGGGAATAAAATAACTTGGGGTTTTTTGTTGTTTTTTGAAACAAGGTCTTGCTAAGGAATCCAAGTTGGCCTTGACCTCAAAATCCTCCACCCCAGCCTTAGAACACAGGGATTACACACAGACTGGGAACACAGGTGTACACCATCCCTCCTAGTTTATTCAAATAAACACGGAGCAGGGTAAGCTGCTGATATCTATATATTTAGTTGAGCAAAGTGAAGCCAGAATTTAATAATAAAATTGTGTTCCTAGGAGTTCTGCAGGAGCAATCACAAGAGAGTCCAAGGTGGCATGCATAAAGGAAAACATTGCACTCAGGAATGAGCCCCAGGCCAAAGAAGACAGGAGCAGGGCATGTGGTCCCTATAGCATCCCATTGCCCTGGGCCCCTGACAATCTCCGGGCTCTCCTCCATCAGCACAGCCCATCACACACATGTACAAGCCCACATCCCTCCACTCATGCTGATTACTCGCTGTGTTCGTCCACTCTTTCACCCTGGCCTTGTGCCCGGCCAAAGGTGCCCTCCACCTGGAATGTCCTGGCTTCCACGAAGGCCTTAAAAGCATCCTTGTGGCTCACTATGACTCGGAGCCAAGCTGGAGCTCACCATTCACCAGGCAGAGTCCAATCCCTCTGCATCACCTGCACTCTGACCTCCTGGGAGCTGCCTAACCCATGTCTCGGCCTCCCTGTGAGTGGGCTTCACTCACACCCATCCGCTGGCTGCCATGATGCAAACTCAGGGACAGCTCGGCAGAGCAGGCACACCCAGCTGACCCCAGTCAGTGGGACTGTGTCTCTGCCAGTGGGACTGTGGAACCCAAGCTTGGCAGACTGGGAAGCAGGGGCTCTCCTAGAGGGCTCACTTAAGACTTCGGACCCGGGGGCTGGGGATTTAGCTCAGCGGCATAGGCGCCTGCCTTGCAAGCAGGCAGTCGTGAGTTCGATCCCTGGTACCGATAAAAACGAAAAAAGACAAAAAAAAAAAAAAAAGACTTCGGACCCAGCAGCAGAGTTTGAGAAGTCACCAAGCTCCAGTTCCTTCACGGAGGAGACAAGGATCAGAAGTCCCTGCCTGTTCACATCGGGACCATCACGACACAATCCCACATGCACAAGCAGCACCCCAGTACCCTGCTGGCCTTTTCACAGGGCTCCCCATCCTGCTCGGAGAGGCTGCTATGGAGCAGTACATCTGTGTAACGAGGAGAGTGACTGACCTGGGAGACCACCCTGCATCAAAGCACCAGAAGGAGCCGAGCGGAGATAGCTTTCCTGGACCACAGAAACCCACTGTCCTCCCGGGAGTGACCCCCACGAAGGGCATTAGAGCCCACTCAGAGCTGCTGCGACAGAATCTAGACAAGGGCCAGAAGGGGCTCCCAGGGAGACTGCCTCCTTGACAAGGAAGAACCTTGTCGCCAGTATCAGGCTGCTATCACCAGCTCCTGCACCCAGAGCCTACTCAGGCACCTTGGCCATGGTCACATTCTGTCCAAGCACTTGTCCATCAGCGTAACTCCTCAGCCCAACCTCAGCGCCCACCCGCTCAGTCAGCTCTGGTGGTGCACACCTGGAGTCCCAATACCTGAGAAGCTGGGGCAGGTCAGTCACAAGATGAAGGTCAACGTAGGCAATTTAGAGAGACCCTGTCTCAGAATAAAAAATAAGAGTGGGGGTGTAACTCAGTGTGAAGCCCTGGGTACAACCCCAAATGGAGGAAAAACCCAGAAAAAGCTAAGTCAGAACTGGTGAAAGAGCTCAGTGGCACAGTCTATGCTTAGCACGCCAGGGCCCTTGTGTCAACCGCCAGAACACACTCAGCAAATAGGTTAAATCTGTCTTCACCCCTCCTTTACTCAAAACAGTCGGCTGGCTTCCACCTCCTCAGCATGAGACCTGTAGGCCTGGTAAGAGACATCCACATGGCCTTTGGGGCAGACCTCAGCCTTGGACCTTTGCAACTGCTGTTTCCTCCACTCCCAAGGCTCCTCCACTGTGTCTACAGGCCTCATACCCTCCCATCTTCAGTCAGACAACTCTGCTGTGAATTGTACCCGCCCCACCCAAAATTCATACCCCCTACAACATGACCTTCTTCCCTTGGTTTTTGGAGGCAGGGCCGTAGTTTAGGCTGCCCTGAACTCATTATGTAGCTCCTCCTCCCTCAGCCTCCCTAGTGCTGTATCATAGGTATGCACCATCACACCTGTCTTATGACTATATTTAAAGACAGAGCCTTGAGAGAGTAATTAAGGTTAAGTAAGATTTTGGGTGGGAAGAGGCCATAATCTGACAGAGTTGGTGACTTCTAGCAGGGCGTGTTATCTACCTCTGTAATCCCAGGGCTCGGAAGGCTGAGGCAGGAGAATTGCTGTGAATTGACACCATTCTGGGCCACATGAGTTTGAGGTCAACCTGAACTACGCAACCAGACTGTCTCCAAAAACCACAAAAGACGACGGACAGACACTAAATAGGTCAGAACCTAGATCCTGGATTGCCCAACTTCCCTCCAGAACTGTAAAAACTAGGGATTGAGGATTTAGCTCAGCAGCATAAATGCCTGCTTGGCAAGTGGGAGGTCATGATTTCAATCCCTGGTACCAAAAAAAAAAAGAACTGTAAAAACTAACTTCTCTTGTTTAAGCCCCTCTGCCCTTGGTAGGGTTGCGGCAGCGTGAGCAGTCTTGAGGAGTTTCAGCTCCCACCCCAACACCTACCATCCCTGGAGCCTGCCCCATTCAGGAGATTTATCTGCCTCCCAACTCAAGTTCCTCCCTCGGGAGCTCCATTTATCTCCATGCAGCCTCTGCCCACCAGCAATACGTTCCTGTTCAAAATAGGCACTGAAAAACGCATTAAATACACTGAAGAAAAGGCAAGAAAGCTGAGGCAGGAGGATGGCTTGAGGCCAGGACTAATGAAGGCAGTCTGGACAACACAGCAAGACCTCATCTCAAAAGATAAATGAGAAAAATAAACTGAAATGTCTATGAAAGGTACAAATCAAGAGCAGACCTCAATTACAGGAGAGTCGACAACCTAAAACCTGTGACCAAATAGGTCAGAAATAGCAAACCCGAAAACAAACGAACAGAGTGCCACTTTGTGCACAAAGGGATCCTTTCAACCCAGAGGCCACAATGCATAGCTTAACCTGGAGCAGAAATGAGAGAATAAAAGAGCAAAAGCAAGCCCACTGGGGCATCGCCCCGGAGCAGAGAACAACTGCAGGAACAGCAGGATGTGAAAATGAATTAATGTGGTTATCAGCTCAGAAAAGCAACTGACTGGCATGTGGACGTTTTTATGGGCAAGGCCTGGAAAGAGGTCAGGGGGGGCTATAATATGTTTACATTTTAAAAGCCTAAGAAGATTAAATAAAATGAAGTTTTTAGAAAGCTTCCCTTTACAGGTACAAAGCACCACATAATTGCAAATTGTTACTGCTGCCTTTTAATTTCCTTAGCTAAAATGAGAAAATTCCTTAAGCTGCCAGTGGTACCAGATATGGGTCCCCCACTGAGCCTGGGCTTCTGTTCAGAGACTGCCAAGTTGCAGTGGGTAACTCAGGGTTCACAATAACCACCTGGCACTAAGTTAATGAGGGATGCACAAGTAAATGGATGGAGACACATGGATGGTGACAGGGATGGCGGCAGGCTGCTTGAGACTGTCCCTGTGACACGCATCTCATTGCTGCAAGGTGAAGCCTACCACATTTTGTTCCACAAATGCAGCATGCAGTGTAGCAAGAAATCTGGCAACTCCTACCAAATTCTAGCCAGGTATTTTCATAAGCATCTTTCAAACATTTCAACAGCTGTTTATTCTCGGCCTAATGGGCCAGTCAGAAAACACAATGCCATGCAACCATTTGAAACTGCAGACACAAAAACTTCCTGAAATACATGTTTTCTCAAAAAAATTAGTCCCTACTCCATGTGAAGAAATCGGTAGAGTGTGGTAGTGCACATCTGTAATTCCAGTCCTCAGGAAGGCTGGAGCAGGAGGATCACAATTTAGGGAAACACTATTTCAAAATTTACAAAATTAAAGGAGCTGAGGGCATACCTCAGTGCCAAAGTCCTGGGTTCAATTCCCAGGATATGCATGGAGAGAAGGAGGGAAAAAGAAGGAAGGAAGCAAGGAAAGGAAGGAGGAGAGAGAAAAGAACAAAACAAAAAAAAAACACCTGCCCTGATATCAAAAGCAGACAGTTGCCACTCGGGCAAAGGCAATAGACTAGATACCTCACCAGAGGAGGTCAGGTGGAATGGGCGGCTGCTAGGCACACCTGCCACCCTTTCAACTAGTAGGTGTGGCGTTCAGATACACGGGTGCCCAAAAGCTATTAAATTTCGGACGAATGAGGAGTGAACAGTCATCCTGCATTCATTAGGGCCGCTGGCAGGTCAGCCATAACTCTGTGCAAAATACTCAATTTCTGAATTGAAAGGAACCTTTGCATAGCTCACCAGATCAGCACACACCTCCGGGGGCCAGGTGGCAGAGTCCTAGGAAGAGGCAGACATAGACAGCAGCTCCACAGCACTCAACACACAAAGCATAAAAAGAAAACGTTCCGCCAGCCCTAGTGCTAGCCTTTCGCCGTGGCGAGGAGGAAGCTAGCGGCGGGAGGTCACATGGCCCCTTCATGACAGCTCAAACCAGACTGTCTTAGGACTCTGGTCGCGTGTCCCCGCGCATCCCCGGTCTCCACTGCGCAAGGAGAACCCAAACGTCAGCGGGGACAGCATCTTCCATCTCCCGTCTCCCAGCCTTGCAAAAATAAAACAGCCACTGCAAAGGCGCCGGCCCCAGAAGCCCCGTGGGGAACTTTCTTCCACCTGCAGTTGCCCTCACTGAGAGCGTTCGCGTGACAGCAGATAATTTCCATCAGTCACACTCAGAACGCCCCAACCTGCGGACAGAGTTCCCACCACCTATCCATCCGGGACAGCCAGGGCCAAGCCGAGGAGAAAGCGCTGCGCCCTTTAAGTAGTCACAATTCCTCTCCTCTGTAAAGGCGGCCACAGTGGGGATCCGGACCCCCCCAAAGGGGTCCAAGCCCGAAAGAAAGGCCTTGAGGTCGCGGAAGCCGCTTCTAAAATTACTCGGCGCAGGCTCTGTGGGAGGGAATAACGCGGGTCTTAGGGCACCCTCGCCGCCGGCGCCCCGAACACGGCCCCCGACTCCGACGCGGCGCGCACCACCCGTGGGGCCGAGAGGGCCGGCGGGCGCGACCCGGGGCGCGCGGACGTGGGGCGGACGCGGCCCCGCTCCGGGGAGCCCTGTCCGCCCGACCCCGTGGCTGGGGCTGGAGCGCGCGGCGGGCGCCGGGCCCGGCTCGAGGCGGCGCTTAGCGGAGCGGCCGAGGCCGCCGCGCATCCCGGGGCCGCGGGGCCGGGCACGGCGGGAGCGCGCAGGCCGCGGCGCGGGCCGGTGACAGCGCGCGGGGCCGTGCCAGGCCGGCCTCGTGGGCGCGGCGGCAGCGCGAGTCCGGCGCGGGGGCGGCAGGTGCGGGGTGGGCGCGGGGCGCGGCGGCCTCGGCTCTCACCTGGCTGCGGCTCGCGGGGCTCCGTCCTGCGCCGCACAGCGGCCCTGCCGTCCCCAAGGCCGCTGCCGCCGCCGCCTCCTGTCCCCGCGACAGCCGCCTGCAAAATGGCGCCGCGGAGGGGCGGGCCTGGGGCGGGGAGCCGCCGAGCCGCCCGCCCCCGCACCGCCCGGCCCACCCCGGCCCCGCCCCGCCGCGCCGCGACCCCCGCCCGCGCGCGGGAGGGGCCGCCCCACCTCACCTGCCGGACCCACCTGGGCCGCGCTCGTCCGCCGCTGCCGCTGCGCCGGGAGCGGGGCTGTCGCGGCTTGATCCCGCCGCGTCCCCACTGACGCCGAGTTTCCTTCCTCGGAGAGAAGGGGTCCTCGGTACGCACGCCGCTGCAGAAGTCACGCTGCTCAGACTCGGGTCCCCTGGGCTTGGGGCATCCCGGGGAAGAAGGATTCGTGCGTTTCCAAAGCGTCCCCCGGGGCTGTCCACGAGCTCGGCGGACTCACTCGCGGCTGGCGCGGGGCAAGCCCAGCCTTGAAGGGCTTCGGTGGAACTCAGAGACGGACCCCACCGAGAGGTGCTGAGGCTGGAGGCCTGCGAGGCTGGTCCTCAGCCTTGCACCTTCCAACCTGACATTATCATAATTGCTTTACAGACCTAGTGACACATCACTGGCTTCCCCGCAACTCTTAAGAGCCATAAAGAATTGTGGACTCCATCAAGCGACAGGAAACAGATTTTACCCTTGGAACTGGGGCTGTCAGGCTTATCAGTGGGGTGGATGGGGAGATAACCAGCACCTAGGGGGAATGTTATAAAGGACACAAGGGTGAAAAAAAGCGGCATATGGTGGTGCACACCTATGATCCTAGCCCTCCGGTGGAGGCAGAGGTGGCAGCAGGGTGGCCATGAGTTCAAGGCCAGCCGTGGCTACATAGTGAGACCTTGTCTCAAAAACCAAAACTATAAAATAAGAACAAGTACCTGGATACACTGGCAGGCCAAGTGTTTGGCCTTCACTGCAGATGGAGAAAATAAGAAACTATGAGTCTGTGACCGCTAAGTGGAGAAAAACTCACATACCACTCAATAACCATCCTTTGCTACTCCAGTGAGAACATTTTCTAGCCAGTTTAAAAAAACAAAACAAACAAAAAAAAAAAATACTATGTTCAGCACAACTGTGGATCTTCCAGATTAGAAGGGCAGGGCTAAGGCAGACTCCCTGAGCTGTTCAGCCTACCCCTTCCCCGTGAGTGGCATTAACCCTGGCCTGTTCATTGCCTCCCTTTGCCTTCCCAGGCATGTCCTATTTTTCTCTAAAATAAAACCTTTCCCAGACTCTCCAGCCTCTGTCTCTGCCACCCCTTCACACTGATCCTCAAACAGGGTGACCCAGGCCCCCTCCAATGTCATCTGTGACCTTTCAATTGCCACATCCCTTTGTCTGTTTACAGTTCTTTTCTTTCTCAATGGTTCAGTAACATTCCATTGACCTGTGGCTCCTAGAAATTCTTTTCTTGTGATAATATCACTGAGTCCCTTGAGTGTTCTAGCTCTGGCTCCCCTCTAGAAGGCTGGTTTTCCCTGATGCCTCCTCTTCCCCATCTTTCCCCTACCCTCTCCAAAACTCAGTCATTGCCTCTTGTGACAGGGTCCTAGAGGTTGGGACTGAGGATGCCCAATGAGTAACTAAAAATAGGAGAAAGCTTGCTGCACTCTTTGCCTATATTTTATGCATCTCCTTTTTCATTGTTAAGACAGGGCTTGCTACGTAGCCCAGGCTGACTTGATCTCTCCTGGATCCTCCTGCCTCAGGCTCCCTAATGCTGGAATTATAAGTGCGCACCACCATGCTGGGCTCTCTCTCCTTCATTATCTTAAAACTGTGACGTGTCCCTGCTCAGTTGTGCATGTAGGTGTGTGACTCTCGAGGAATATCTGTGTCACAGGGTTTATGAGCCTGAAGTTTACCTACTCTGCCTCCGTCCTCTCAAGATCCAGGTCTCCGAGAAAGGAATAACTAAGCCATTTACAGAATTTACAGAGCATCTGCAAGTTGTCTGGTTCCAGGTCCCCTGGAGTGATGCTTACAATTCTTGACCCATGGTTCTAAACCTGTAGCCACCTCAGTTTCCAAGAAAAGCAGAAAGTCACAGGACACCCCCAAGTAGGAACAGTTACCTGTGCCGGTCACAGACACAGCCTCCCCAGGCTGGACCCGCCACATCTGCCCTTGCCTTGTTTTCTTTTTCCATAAAACCTCAGAGGTTTTGTCATCCTACGAAGACAGACGAAACACCCGATCCCCTCACAAAGCCTCACTGATCAGAGCTGCCATCCTGCCCTAGGCCCCAGCTCCATTTATTGATGGCCATCTTCTGGGACCCCTGGGGCTGGGACTTTCACCCTAAGAGTCCACTCTGGTGACTTTCATGCTTTCCACACTTCTCTCTCCAAACCAGATGCACAAACCTGTCTGCTCTGCCTGGATGACCGCTGGGGTTGTACGGAGAGTGGGCGCTACTCACAGGTGTGTGTCTGCAGATGCAGAGACTGTGGGTCAGAAATATTTAGGGGAAGCCAGCATGGTGGCCCACATCTGTAATCTCTGCACTCTAGAGGCTGAGGTGGGAAAATGGTACGTTAGAGACTAGTCTAGGCTACATAGTTCAAGGCCAGGTTAGATTATATTATGAAGCCCTGTGTGCAAAAAAGAAAGAAATTCACATAAATTAAAAAAAAAAAAAAAAGAGCTGGGCATAGTGGTGCATACCTGTAATCCCACCACTCAGGAAGCTAAGGCAAGAGGATCTTTATGAGTTCAAGGCCAGCCTGGGCCTCAAAGTGGGCTCAAGGCCAGCCTGAACTGCATAGCCAGACCCTGTCTCAAAAAGACAAAAAAAAAAAAAAAAAAAGAAGTATATACATATATATATACACACATATATATAGGAGGTTGTATTGAATCTACATTGAACATGTACAGATGTTTTTCTTGTCAATATTCCCTAAATGATATATTATCCAGCACTGACATATCAGGAATTATAAGCAGTCTAGCGGGGACTTGAGTCCACGGGGAGTGTGGGGAGGTCACACACTCCTACAGCATGGAGTCTTGGGAATCTGGGAGGGCAGGGTGTCCTACTATGCCCTCATTATTCTCCTCCTGCAAACATGGCTTTTATATGGGTTTTCTGACTTTGGCACCAGAAACTTCAATGCGGTGTTTGAGTCCCTGTCCCCACTCCTTATGTTTAGCCTGTGGCTGTGGCCAGCTTGCACAGAGAGACTTTTCTGGATGCTCTCTGTAGCAGGCACTGCCACAGACCCACTTTCTTTTTGCAACAGAGACCAGCTTAGGGACACACACACACCTACTGCTATGGGCCAGATCTCAAGACAAAAGGCAAAGCAAATATAACCACATCTAAGGATGGACAGTCCACATAGTTCTCTGTCAGCCTGAGGAAGTCAGGAGTCAGCATCCCCCCACTACAGGAAGAGTCACTGCTGTTAAGCATGACCACTTACTATGTGCCTCACTCCCCAATTTGCTCCTGATTTAATCAATTTTACCTGAGCACTTAATCTTACTGGCTCACCACAGTTCTGTCCCACTTTATGCCTATCTTGCAAATTCCCATTTTCCCCCACCTTTGACTCATTTAACCACATGATTTTACTCCAGAGAAGTCCCTAGAAAGTGGACCAGGGATTTAGCTAGGTGGCATAAGTGCCTGCCTGGCAAGCACAAGGTCAAGAGTTCAATCCTCGGTACCACAAAAAAGCAAAAACAGTCCCTAGAAAAGACAGAGTCTTTAGCAACCCACTCGGGACCCCTTCTGTCTCTCTCTCTCAGACAGAAGCTTGCTTTCTCTCAATAAATATATTCCACTCCTAACCTTCGTGTTCCTAAAATTCATTCTTCGATTTTAAAGAACAGGAACTCATACCAGACATGTAGTAGGTCAGGAGTTTCATTCCCCTACGTCAGGAGAATCACCACAAGTTTGAGGGCAGCTTGGGCCACACAGGGAGACTTGTCTCAAAACAAACAAAAGAAAGAACAAAAGCCCGTGACTGAGCTCCTGCCTACACAGGCCCGATAGTAACTAAAAGCCTGGCCTCTGTTAGTATCTGTTTCCTTCACTGCACTGCCCTAAGGTGCGGTCCCTGCTCAGTTCCCGGCTAAGCACTGGGCCAGGTCTGTGAGCAGCCTCTAAGTCCTGGGGGCTCCTCGGCTCTCAGCACCCGAGGCTGCAGAGGAACCCTGTGGGACAGCCAGCCGTCGCCCTAAAGCTGCGGTCCCCGGACGCCAGCAGAGGCCACCCCACAGGAAATAATCTCTGTGAGATCAAACTGCTCATCTAGCAACAAGGACTCTTCTAAAGCCATCTCGCAAGATCAGAGCATAGGCGATGATCACCAGACCTGAGCCACACAGCAAATCTGTAAACTCGGGGCTCCTCTCTTGTTCAGGCTGACCCTTTTGTTGGAGATGGGCCCCTCTGCCCCTCCAGCTGAAGCCCCTTCCCTATTCTATTTTCTCTTCCTTTCTGACTCTGCCT